TGATTTGACACGGAGATGTAAGGCCCTAGCTGCTACAATATATACTCACAAATACTCCAGTGCACACGCAGGGTCTCATTATCAGGGAGAAATCAGCAGGACAGCCATAAAACAAATACAACTCACATAAGCACACTGCTCAGGAGACTGTCTGCAATATATGCTCTGATTAATGTCTGGAATGGCAATAGTGCAAGTTAATGCTTCCTTGAGTCTTAGATGACGTGCTTGAAAAGATCTTTGGGAAGGTCATGCCCACTTTTATGACTTGACTGCAAATGAAGCAACCCCCTGAACGCTGACCTTGGATTTGACTGCAGGGTAAGTGCTGGAGTAGATAGCAAATTGGAGGAGATCCATGGACACCAATGGCAGCTCCTTAACACCACAGGGCTCAGCATCCTTTGGGGTTAAATTCCTCCCTGTCTCAGAGGAGGGAATGAAGCATTCGATCCTTCTAATGCCCACTGCTCTCTGCATGGAATGAATCAACCTTTGGAAAAGTTCAGAAGAACTTCTGCAAATGAACCTCGCTATGACCAATGCACTGAAAATATCTTCAATCCCTGCAAGTATCAAACAATCTCAGGCCCCGACTCTCCCTCTGAAATGCAACTGGACTACCACAAAGAAGATGCCCTACAAAAAAAAAAAAAGAACATAAAAGCACTGAAATCATGTAGAAACAAACACAAAGAGACTTCTGCCCAATGTGGTGAGAGAGAAAACGATTAAATCGCATGAAAAACCTGTTGCTACCACTTCTGCATTTGGCCAACAAAGAGGGCTAGTGAGGCCCCACTCGGTAAATATATACTCTTGTTGGATCAAAGGGGTAAGAATGGAAGCGAGTCCTCAGGCTTTATGGACCTGATCCAGTTGGGTTTTCTACTAATTTCTGTGGGCTTTGGCTGGTGTCCAGGCAGCATAAATGACCAGGAGCGGGGCTAGCCTTGCTTGGCAAATGAATGCCCTGCCAGCACCACTGATTTTTACTCTCTCCACCCTAAACCTGGGCTTTCTGCTCAACTCTAGAAGGCTCCATAAGCAGCAAAAGGCTCACTGGCGCCCAGGAGGGTTTTAGCCGGACCCAGGAATGCACATGGCCGCACAAGGATGCGTAACATGGTGGCTCCCGACGTCTTCCATCAGTCCCCGTTCACGTTCAGCCGTCCTCATGTTCGGCGGCGCGATGGACGCTGGTTGGAGAGTTCTGTATCGGCCGAGCAGCTGCCGCCTGGCTCCGTTCCCTCGGGAAGGACTGAAAACGGAGCCTCTTCTGGGCTTTGTGGTAGGGGAGCCTTCAGCCTGCAAAGGGCTCAGGGGCCAGCGCGATGAAAGCAGACAGCTTGCTTACCATGTCGTGCTTTCACGAGGGCCTTCAGGAACGCAGGAGCTCTCAGAATAAAGTGTCTGGGGCAGTTCTTCCTGTTGCCTTGCCTCCAGTAATGACTTCGGGCTTGTTTACATTAGAGAGTTGTACTACCAGTATTTTATACAACCATAGTTAGATCAGTACACCACCTGTATTGTCTCTTTCGTTGCCTTGGTGTGAAGGCGAGTATAGTATTTCTGAGTCCTGAAAAACCAAGCCGACAACACGCAAAATGGATACCTAGCGAAAATGGGAATGCTGTTGCGTTTTCTGACATTTCAAACTCAGTAATGGCCACAGACTTACTGTGAAATTGTAATTGGTTTACTAAAAATAAGACATTGCTAGATTGTAGACAATTATTCCCAGCTTACAGCACCCAAACAGGAATTAAAACCTTGGTTCTTTTTTTATCTTTTCTCCCCTTATTATTAAAGGGGAGAGGGAAAAATGAACAATGAATTACACAAAATAAGGGATTTCTGCCAAGCAGCATAATTCATATGAATACAAGAGACTGCCTAACATTTCCAGTGTACAAAGACAGCGAAACTCTACAAGTCGACAAATCCACAGAGTAACTTAGTGGAAACCGCACTTGCACTTTGGGGAAGGAATTGCTCCACTTTTGGTGGAGCCTGTATTATCAGGCTGCGACTGTGGGATAATACCATCTTTAAAAGGACAGAGAGCTCCCATTCCCCAATCGCGTCTGTGATCGTGGACAAATAGATAAAGCTCTCGGCTTTACTGAACGGTGACAGATTTAACCCCAGGACCTTTAACTCTTTTGCTGGAGCTGCGCACCCCCACATTCGGGGCTGGAGTTTCCCAATTTGAACGGTACGGATGATAGTATTACCAAATACCTGAGAAGAGCTTTGTGCCGATGCAGTCATTAACGCTCAAAAACCACCCAAAGGTCCTGGCATTCACTGCCAATGGAGTTAAATAGTTGAGGTCCGTGAGAGAAAAGTGGTGTCAGCAATGTAGACCCTGACTTCTGTGACAAAGAGCCTAAAGATAAAATATCAAAGAACAGGATTAAATTAGTAACAAATATACCAATCAATAAACCTGATGTTTTAAGGTGCTATTGCTACCGTTGTGCATTGGAAAACACGTACATTCAAAAAAAAAAAAAAAAGTTGTTATCCTGCAGATATTATAATCTAGACAAGGCAACCTAGAGGAAGGAAGAGAAAGGAGTTTCCCTGCTTTACTTGTTGGAGGCTAAAGCACGGGCTAGAGACCCCGACTGGCACCATGCAGGTTGTTCGCAGGGGAGCTCTGCAGTGACCCCAGCGCTCCGCTCCCCCCTCCGCTCCCCCAACCCTAACAGCACTCTCAAACGCATCCCTTTTTCTTTTCGAGAGCAGCAAAACCCTAAACATCAACCTCGACCCGGAGCCTCAATCCGTCGCTTCACGTCTGCGGCCACCTCTGCCTCCCCTCCCGGCGCTGTTGCAGCCCGGAGGCTCCCGGGACAACCCACAGCAGCGACATTGCCCCCGCCGGCCCCGCTCCAGCTTC